TACATAAACCAGGTTACCACTTTAGTGTGGCTAAGTCAGCTTTAGAAACTAAAGGCCTTGAATAGTTGCATGCTACAAATGACCAAATTCTAGGAAGCATGGAGACCTCCTCTTGTGGTCTTCACTAATTTCCAATCTTTGATTTCCAGGTTTTGGCCTTTTCAAATGCATTTTTTCCATTTCTGAAATCAAGAATGGCTTGAGAAATCTCTTCACTGGTGTTCATTACAAATGGACCATGTTGGACAACCAGTTCTTTTAATGGCTCCCCAGCAATTAAGACAAAGTGGCTTCTCTTTCCATCCTGTTCTCCACCTAAACTTTGTTGCCTTCCCCGAGCACTGCTGTATGGTGTGGTTCTATATTTTCTCTCATGTGTCCTTAGGTCCAATGTATACATCTCCAGAGATGGTGTAAATAAAGCTTGTCCGCCCTCTAGGAATAGGCTGGGTATGTTGCGCCTTGGTCTAGTTTCAAGTCCAAATATAAAGTTGGTGTACGTGTATAAATCTTACCTAGGGCTTCTCCAGAGATGACCGCAATTGTCACACCGTCTTTAGCAGGCTCAGGGATTTCTTTACTTTTTAGTTCTTGATACTGAGGCTCCACCATCTTCTCAGAGCTCCTCAAATTAACCCAAAGTTGTAAGCCTTGGGCGGGGTCCGCTGAGCCAGGCGTCTCAGCGTGCAGGATGCCCCCGCCTGCAGTCATCCCCTGTAGGTCTCCTGGGTCCATTTTACCAACGTGTTCACAGAAGACTTCATGAGCCATGCTGCCCCCTTCAGGAGGCAAGGTACTGTTTCAAAACCTCGATGTGGGTGATCAGGAAATCCACCTCGTTTACCTCCTTTAAATTCATCAAACAGCAAAAATGGATCTAGATTTTTAAACTCAAGTCCTCCAATGCTTCTGCGGACTCTTGCTCCAACCCCTTCCGACTGCTCCTGGCTGAGCACTGTGAGAGTAACCTTCTTGGAGGACCCCACGTCAAAGTCAACGATGAGATGGTTCAAACACTGAGGCGTTAGTAGCGGCATACTGAGCCTCCGCAGCGTCTGGCAGAGCACGTGGGAGTCGCCCGTTGGAGTCAAGCCAGCAGGTTAGAAGGACGCCAGGCCAGTCGCCTCACGGTGACTCAACGGTTCTCGGTGGGCAGCCAGTAGGAGGCGGGGCAGGGGGCAGGAGTGTTTGTTTGTGAGACAGAGTCTCACTCTGTTGCCCCAAGTTAGAGTGCCATGGTGTGATAACTCACTCCGGCCTCAAATCCTGGGTTCAAGGAATCCTCCTGCCTCAGCCTCCTAATCAGCTGTGGCTACAGGTGCCCACTATAATGTGCAGCTCATTTTTTCTATTTTAAGTAGAGACAGGGTCTCACTCTTGCTCAGGCACTGAACTCAAATGATCCTCCCACCTCAGCCTCCCAGAGTGCTTGGATTACAGGCATAAGCCACCACACCCAGCCTAGAATAAGGTTTTTAAGAAGTGCTTCTTGGCCTGTTTGAGAAGAGAGTCTGGCAAAGCCATAATGAGCCCAGATTATAGCATCAGACTGACAAGGACTGGATGTCTACCCTGCCACTTACTACATATCAGTGCGGTGTTCTTAGCTTCTACAAGCCTTGACTTCTTCATCTGTAAAATGTGAAAAAATGATTCATACCTCCAAGGGCTGCTGGGAAGTTTAAAGGAAATAATGCATATAAGGGACTTAGCATAGTTACTGATCCACAGTAAGCACCTAATGTATGTGAGCTGTCATTATTACATTATTCCTCAAGATGGTTTACACATCCAAAGGAAAAACAGAAGGAGAAGAAATGAAGAATGGATGGTGTATGAATGAGGTGCCTGAAATGTGTTAGGCGACATGGCGTAAAGAGCCGCCTGGTAACACCAAGCTCAGCGGAGTGAGAAGAGCTGTAAAAATCCCATGCGCAGTGCAGAGTCCTCACTGGACAAGAGAAAGGCAAATGGAAACTGACAGACGGTGAGCAATTACATAGTCAATGCCTGCTGACGAGGAGAGAGAACTTCAACATGGATAACTGAAACAATAATCCACCTCTGGCTTTCTTTCACGCCCAAGTGGCACCTAAAAGACATCAAGAGAGATGCGATGCCCAAACTGACACCTGTTTTCACCTCTGCGCTTCCCTGTCCTTTATCAACACCTGTAGCCCCAGGTAAAGCAAACTTCCCTTTGGAAGTTACAGGATAAAAGACACAAGATGGAAGGGGATCCAGACACTATTTAAACTGGTGGTTTTCAAGTGTTTAAGCCATACTTTCTTAAAAGAAAAACACAAACGAAAAAGTAAAAAATGTGCCTCTCCCCAGACCTTAGCAGAGATGGGACCCAGAGCCCAGGCTGCTCAAGTCTACACCTGCCCACCTCTGCATCATTAATGCAGCTCCAGAAGCAGAGTCTGAAAGCTACTGATAATGTTCTATCCCTTAATTTTAGAGATGTGAAAACAGAAGGTCAGAAAGGAAAGGGGACCTCCTCAAAATTGCAGGGCTACTGGGCAAAGCTGTGGCTAGAATCCCACCAATTTTCTACTGGTCAATCAGGTTCTCATCACCACGGAATGCTAACTTCTTGACTCACATACTAAAAAGATAAAGAAGTAAGAAAACCTGTTTGAAAAGAATGTGCCTCGCCACAGGAAAAAAACCTAAAAATGGAAGGTTGGTAAGCGATAAAGTCTGGCACCAACAGCTTGGACTCCACTGATCTGCATTTGGACAAAATATTGCCTCCATCTACATTTAAGTAGAGTTACCAAGACAATTTTTTGAACATCAAAACCAATTAAGCCAAAAAAATAATAAGGACTTCACGATGGAAGCCTAACAGATTCACATTTACAATTATATTGCATGTACATGCACATAATCACACTTTGGAGGAAGTTTAAGCTACGTTAATGAGACTGGGGGAAATGAAAAAAAAAAAAAGAAGCGAGTAGCCAATAAAATTAACTACAATGACGAATGGATGAATTATAGTCTTACAATGATGCCAGGCGTGATTCAGTGTTCTGTTGACAGAATCTCAGCTTACATCATCTGGTTGGACTTTAAAGCTGCTGTATTTTAAAATCAAAGGTCAAGTCAAGCACTCCCTCTTAGGCTTACATGTTGTGAAGTTCAAGGTTCATAGCAATACGTGTAAATTATTTTCTAAAATGCCACAAGTTCCCTCTATTTGAGATACCAGCCATGTAGACAGAGCTTTCAAAATGCAACTTCACACGGCCTGCACAGACTCAGCTTCACACTGGGCCTGAGTCCACAGTCATATAACCTGTGACCCTGAAGCCTGTGAGACTCCACTACTCTGTGCTGTATTTTCATTTTCTCATTCCATAAAAGGAAGACTGAAGAGAAAAAGTATCCAGCAGTCTGATGCAGATTATTTGCTGGCCTCATCTGCATCAAATCCCTTAAGTGCATCTCACCTCCTCTAGCTTGAAAACCGTTCCGACATATGGCTGGATGCGCCCTTGCTGGCAGTACTGAAGAGCCGAGGATAGGCTCTTGGAGAAGACAGGAAAGTTCTTATCTTTGTATCGACCACAGTATATGCCCATGGCAGAGACATTCTTCAGGAGTAGAAGGTTGGCTGGCACAGAAGCAATGTTTCCTCCTGCAAATCCGACCACCACAATCCTGCCCTCCCATGCCAGGCTGCGGGTAAAGAGGAGAAGGAAAAGAAATTATAAAAAAGTAATATACATTCACACCCATTAGGATGACTACTATCAAAAAAAAAAGCAGAAAATAACAAGTGTTGGCAAGGTCATAAAGAAATTAAAGCCCTCACACACTGTTGGTGGAATTATATGATGGTGCAACGCCTACAGAAAACAATATAGGTGCCTTAACAAGTTAAAAAATAGCTCTAGCAATTCCACTTCTGGTATACATTGAGAAGAACTGAAAATAGGGTCTCAAAGAGATATTTTCATACTGATATTCACAGCAGCATTATTCAAAATAACCAAGATGTGGAAGCAACCCAAGTGTCTATCAAAGGATGAATGGATAAACAAAATGTGGTGTATCTATACAATGGAATACTATACAGCCTTTAAAAGGAAGGAAATCTTGGCACATGCTATATCATGGATGAACTTGGAGGACATTATGCTAAATGAAATAAGCCAGACACAAAAAGACAAATAGTATATGATTTCACTTTCATCTGGTATTTAAAGTAATCAAATTCATAGAAACAGAAAGTAGAGTAGTGGTTTTCAAGGGCTAGAGAGAAGGGAAAGGGAGTTTTTTGATGGGTTTGGAGGTTCAGATTCACAAGATGATAAAATCCTGGAGATCTGTCGTACGACAATGTGAACATACTTAACACTACTGAGTTGTACACTTAAAAATGGTTAAGATGGGGCAGCACCTGTGGTTCAAAGGAGTAGGGCACTGGCCCCATATGCCAGAGGTGGAAGGTTCAAACCCAGCCCTGGCCAAAAACTGAAAAAAAAAAAAATGGTTAAGATGGTATATTTTATGTTGTTTTTTACCACAATAAAAGTAGTTTTTTAAAACCTATATACGGCTCTGCACCTATAGCTCAACCGGCTAAGGCGCTAGCCATGTACACCTAAGGTGGCGGGTTCGAATCCTCAGCCTGGAACCGCCAAACAACAATGACGGCTGCAACCAAAAAATAGCCGGGCGTTGTGGCAGGCGCCTGTGGTCCCAGCTACTTGGGAGGCGGAGGCAGGAGACTCGCTTGAGCCCAGGAGTTGGAGGTTGCTGTGAGCTGTAATGCCACGGCACTCTACCCAGGGGGATAGCTTGAGGCTCTGTCTCAAAAAAAAACCTATATACATTCATTGATAGAGACAGAAAGCATAACAGAGGTTACCAGGGGTTGGGGGAAGAGGAAAGTAGATACAGAATTTTTGTCAGGGATGGTTACACAATGTTATCAGTGTATATCAGTGTATTCAATGCCAATGGACTGCACCCTTATGAATGGTGAAGATGATAAACATTAGGTTATGCATATTTTACCATCATAAAAATAAGCAACATGTATTAAAGTCACAACTGGGAACTCTGCTTGACCTTACAAACTCGTAGTTTGAACCATCCTTACCACTTTGGGCTCCTCAGTAGGAAAATATAATAATAAGCCATCAAGCAAGGTATTAGGGAGCTAAAAGAACTAGCCGGTTTTACAAGGGTACCCACTTGAGAATCAAGGCTCCCTAACTGCCTCGACCACTTTGTGGGAGGCAGTTGGGTATAAACAACTGACATCTCCATTTGCAGATTTTCAACTTAGGAAGCAGGAATAAAAAGATAAGCACTTTAAGGAAGGATCATTTGCTTTACACAATGACTTCCTAATTAAGCCATGTGCTTCTTTATACAATTTTGAATAATCGACAAAAACTCACAAGTTTTCTGTCGCCCATTATGAAAAGTACAGTATCATTGCTAAGCAACGAGTTACAAAATAACTTTCGTAAACATGTTTGATATAAGATTTGTATCTCTATGTTTGGTTTTTGCTTTTTGTTTTGTGTTTTTTTTTTTTTTTTTAAGAAATGAGAAGCTATTATCAAAACATGATTATACAGAAGGCAAGAAGGAAGGGAAGGCCCAGGTGAGTTTTACCAGCTCTCTGTCCTGACCCTACACTCAGTCTGCACAGCCCTTTCTTTGCTTCTTCTCTAAGCACAGAGGCACGGTGCAATGATGATCATTCAACTCAGGGCCAGAGAACCAACTGGATCCCTTCTGTGGGCAGGCTGCTCTCTCTGCTTCCATTTCTTCTCCTTTAATCTGAGATAAACTATGAAATTATGCTGGCCAGGATGACACAAGACATGAAACTAATACTGAGAATACTCTAGAATCCCTGGCTGAAAACAGAATGAGAACTGATGTGATAAAACAGCCCTACCGAATCTCTAATAAAATAAGTCAAGGAAGTATCTACAGTGCTGGCTGCTTCAGGAACCAGTAGGATCAGAAGGGCCTGTACCTTAGTTCATAGAGAACTGGGGAAACGGCTGCTCTGCTGCCTCAGTAATTCTAACATCTTAACAATGATCTCCTCAAGAGTTCCCACATCCATGTATATAAAGTAGTTAGTGGGGGCTGGCATAGCTGAATTTAACACATGTATAATTTCTAAAGCATTTAACACTGCCAACTACAGAGCCTGCAGTCGTTTTTTGGATATTTTCCAGTTGGGTATTTTGTTTTTGCTATATTTAAGCATTTCCTGATTTTCTCTGCTGCTATTCCTTTTCATCCACCCACTCAGCTGTTCTCCTTGATGCTGATGCCTACAGGAGAAGTGAACAGCAAAGCAGAGAGAAGTGAGGCCAGAAGGAAGACAGAGGTCTGGAAAGGTTTCAGCAGCACCCTGGATCTAGCCGTCTCCAGACAGACTGCTCCACGCACCTGCGGAGAGACTCCAGGAAGACATCTCCTCCCACCATGTCGATGGCCACATCTATCCCATCGCTCCCCACCAGCTTCCTCACTGCCTCCTTCAGGCTGCCTTGGTTGTAGTTCATGCCAAACTGGGCACCTCTTTGCATCGCCAGCTTGCACTTCTCATCGCTTCCGGCAACAGCTATTACCTGCATAAAGAACACAAGATTTCTGACAGTCCAGATCACATCACAAGGGGGGGATACCCCCACCTCCCCTACCTCCAGCCAAAGGGTGCTACTCAAGGAAACCAATGTGGCCTTGCTGCCCTAATGTCAGATCTGAACCCACATATCAGGTCCAACACACAGACATTTCCTCTGGCCCCTCCATGCCCCCCTAGCCATGAGGTCCACATTTTGAGGAATCCTGGAACTCCAACAGGTCTGTCCAGGAGATGGTTTCAAAGATATGCAGAAAGTCTTCTCTAAATATAAATGAAAACCACCATTTACTGATCACCAACTATGAGTTAAGTACTAAGGACACAAACTGGATACCAAACTGAGAGTCAAGGAAACAAGATACAGCAATGTAAAGGGGGAAACACAGAGGGCTCCAGAAGTGCAAATGAGAGGCACCCAGTCTAGATCTAGAAGATCAGGGAAGGCTTCCCAGAAAGTGAAACATGCTTAAGAAAGAAGGTAAAGTCAGATAGACTTTAGTTCAAATCCTGGCTCTGCCACTCACTTGCTGTGTTACCTAAGGCAAATTACTTAGTAAAAACTAATGCAGGGGTTGCTACTTGCCAGACACTATTCTAAATGTTTTAATATATATTGATAACTCATTTAATCATAATAGACCAATGAAATATATGCTGTTATTTTCCTCATTTTGTAGACAAAGAAATTGAGGCAAAGAAGTTACATAATTTGTTCAAGGAAGGTCACACGAGGAGGCAGAGCTGGGACCTACACCCAGGCAATCCATCTCCAGAGTTCCTGCCATTAACCTTTTATACTGCCCACAGTTTCATTAAATTCCAGTCACTTTATCAGTAAAATAAGACATTTTAAAAATTAAATGGAATGCTGTATATAAATCACTTAGAAAACAAAGTGTTAGATAAATTGAAGCTATTGTTACACATATGCAATCATTTATTCTATTTAAACCTCCTAAGAACATATGGGGGAGGAATAATTACTCCCATTCTATGGATGGAAACACAGACTCAGGGTTGTCCAGGCAGCAGGTGTTAGAACAACTATTCAAACTCACTGCTGCCTTACTCCAAAGTCTATGCTTTTCTACTCCATCGCCTTAGGAGGAAACCATGCCTAGGGCCCAACACAGATGGCATAAATGGCTGTGAGCCACTCCTCAGGGGACATCTGGGGTGTGAAGCCTCTAGAAAAGCTATAAAAACATTCAAGCATTGCCTCATCACTGGGCAGCACTCCCCCAGTCCAAGCACTTTGACCCCAAAGTGATCCTCAAATCTTGCGCTTAAACACCTCAAGAGCATCAATGACATTAAGAGATTCCAAACTCATTCCTGACTGAACACGACCCTCAGATACTCGCTGGGGGAACCCTGCAATAGCTGCAATTCACTGAAGGCTATCAGCACACAGTGCCACGGTGGCAGACACTGGAGGAGGGACAGACACCTGATTTGAATTCTAAGATTCTCACTAGGTTTCCTTGAGACCTGCTGTGAATCATTTTCTCTGTAGGTGCCTCACTTTCTTGATCTGTGAAATAGGGATAATAAGCACTTACATGACCCATCTCCCAGGAGTCTTGTATGGATTGCAAGTGAGATAATTACTGTGGAGGCACTTTGGAAACCTACGAAATGCTGTAGGTAGAAGGTATTATCATCATGACCTGTTCCAAGTAGGTGGCACACAGTAACATTTTTTTGTTTGCTTTTGTTTAAAACCCTTATCGCTGCTAAAGAAAATACAGCTTAGAGTAATTTTTATACCTGAATTAAAGCAAACTTTTCTTTCTACTTAACCTCTTACAACTACTTAAAGCAAACGGTATAATTTTATCACCCTAGAAATGTGAAATAGTCAATAGCTCTAGAGACAATAAAATCAATCATGGTCCCTCCCCCTAAAAGGAGCTAAAAATCCATCCTTTTAACATGAAATGTAAATTGAAAAACTAGCCAGGCGTTGTGGGGTGAGGGGGTGCCTATAAGCCCAAGAGTTTGAGGTTGCTGGGAGCTATGACATTACAACTCTACCCAGAGTGAGAGTCTGTCTCAAAAAAAAAGGAACCATGAAATGTGTTAAATCACTTGAGGAGCCTCCTGGTCTCTAAGATTGCTTTCAGAACTCACACATCTATCCCAAAAGGAACTTAATATGAGAAAGGGGCGATGTCACCTAAAGAAATTCCAGGCCAACCCAATCATCTCCAAACACAAATATCTGGCTGCTTTCAGGATATCCATCTGCACACTCCACAGGAACCTCACACTCAGCTCATCCCAAACTAAACTCACCATTTCCTGCTGTGTTCTCAATAAACAGAAATTCCCCAAGTTAACTTAGTTTGCTCCTTCCCACTCAATGTCTAATAATAACAGGATTCTTTTTAAAGACATTCTTACTGACACGGCACACCCTCTAATAGGCACTGCACGTGTAATCTCAATTTTCCCACAACTCCATGAAGAAATCATTACTTTACAGATGAGGAAAGTAATGCAACTAAGCTGGAGGCAGAGCTGGAACCTTCATCAGGCCGACTGTAGCAGGACGCACTGCAGTAACCACAGTTCTCTATTATTTCCCACTTCAGCATCTCTCAATTCATCACTTCTACAGCCTTAGTTTAGGTATCCTCACCTCTGGCTTGGATTCCTTTAAGAGCCAGTTCTTCTGCTTCCAGACTACCCCTGACCTGGCCCTACCCATCACCCCATGGCTTTCAAAGCAAAATTTTCAAAGTGCAAAGATGATCATGTCACTTCCTTACTTTATAATCCTTAATAGCTTCCAATAAATGTTCAAATTCTTCAGCCCCACACAAAGCCCCTCACAACCTTACCTCTACCCACTTCTCTAGAGTTATCCTCCACCTTTTCCGCCACAGGTTCTTGGTTCTCAAGAGGCCATGTGCAATTCCCTGAATGCATTGTACTAGTTCCCATTTCTCTGTCTTCCTATATGTCCCACCACCACTAACATGGCCTTCACCCCCTTCTTCCTCTATTCGCCTGCTACCCAGTCCTTCAGAAGTCAGCTGAAATGCACACCTTCTCCAAGAAGTCCCCTTTCTCTGACACCCACAGCCTCAGAGAGATGCTTCTAGAGACACATGTGTCTTCATTTCACTCTTTCATTCATTCTTGCATTCATTCATTCATTAAGAAATAGTTCTTATCCAAGAATAAATATAATTTAATATTAATTTTTAATTTTGATAATGCTACCATTTTGGTGGGAAAGGCAGATAAGCTAGTGGTCTTCAAATTGGTGAAAATTTCTAGATCCTTGACTTTCTGTGTCCTCTTTCCAGAAATTAATCAGTCTAAAAATTACAGTTGTACTCAAGGTGCTCCCTTTCTCAATCACTCTTCTCCTACTTTAAAAAAAGGTATAACCATTACTGATTCTGAGTCTTGCTGGTTGTGCATCTGATGTGTGAAAAGCTCTCGGTTAACAAGCAAAGGAACAATAAGAAATATTATTAGGAGAGTGAATGACTCTGGGTAGCAAGTCCTTTTCCTGTCCCATGGTTTCCAGTTCTTGCTTTTAACAAAATTGAAGCATTTGTCAGCTGATAGATAACTAAAAACAACTTTCTTTTTCTTTTCAGACAAAGTCTCTGTCACTCTGGGTTGAGTACCATAGCTTACAGCAACCTTGAACTCTTGGGCTTAAGCAATCCTTCTGCCTCAGTCTCCCAAGAGGCTGCGATTACAGGTACCAGCCACAATGCCGGGCCCTTTTATTTTTTTTCTGTTTTTTGTGGAGTCAGGATCTCACTTTAGCTCAGGCTGGTTTTAAACTCCTGAGGTCAAGCAATCCACCTGCCTTGGCCTCTCGAAGTGTTGGGATTACAGGTGTGAGCCACTGTACCCAGTCTAAAAATAACTTTTGATGCTAGCTACTTCACTGTGTGATTTTGGCATATAACTCTAAATGAGTAAAAAAGTGGACTGACATTCCTATAGCAAAATTTCTTCCACTCTTTCTAGGTATTTATGTGAACAAGGTTTTTTGGTATTTGTAGCTATAAAAGTGAAAAACCAATGCATTTCAAATAAAATTTTACTTTCTGTATTTAATAATAATACCAATTATATAATAATCTTTTGATCAATTACATATTGATAATAAAGGTAATGAAACCCGCCCCTCCAAAAAAGAAAAAAAAATAGTTCCTAAGTGCCTACTCTGTTCTGGGCACTACACTAGGTGTTAGGACTACCGTGATAAACAGATCCTGTCACTGCCTTTATGGGTTGTATATTCGAGTAGGAGGGAGACATTAATCCAGTAATAACACAAGTAAAAGTGTAACCACACACTGAGGTGTACATGATGAAAGATAAACAAAGGGTACTGTGAGATCACACAGTGGGAGGGAGGGACTGACCCAGCCTGAGGGACAGAGAACGCTTCTCTGAACAAGTGACATTTGAGTTTAAAGCTGAAACACAGGGGGAGATGGTTCAGAGCATCACAGGTAGATAAAACAGCATCTGCAAAAGCCATGAAGTGACTCAGATCTTGCCAGGGTCTGGGAACTGAAAGGATGAGGGATGTACCTCCATGCCTCCTGATGAGTCTGTGAGCAAATAAATGGCAAGACCCTACTCTGGGTTATTTTATATCCTTAGTACCTTACACATAATTTTTAATTAATAAATGAATTATTTCATGTTTGAGAACTGAAGTTGGGATTTTTTTAATGGAGACTCTTACATCCAGATACCTTTGCCTGAAGAATGTTTGTTGCCACATCTATCACTGCGAGGCCTGTGGCTCCGGCTGCTGCTGTCACTAAAACAGTTTCTCTGCCAGAGAAAGATGAATGTTACTTCAGAAAACTTCAAAAATGATCCAGTAATTCGATTATACAAACATTTAGAACCAAAACATATTAAAGCAAGAATGTTAGAGGTCATTTCATTCAAAACCTTCATGTACATCTGTTCTCCAGTCTTTAGGGGTGGGTTACGGACGTGACTTGTAGACCAGTGCCAATTTGGTGCAGTGTTGAAGACTTCCCAGGAAAAAAGATTCCTTCATCCCTCCTTCATGTCAGTGGCAAACTTTCCTGCAAGCTACCACTCCATTCATGCCTCAAATTCTGTCCTAAAATCATCCTCATCCTAAATACTACCCAATTTTCTAGTGATCATGAAATGGCACTGCACAGCTAAACCCACCTCTCTAAGAGCAATTCTGAGACTCGGCTCTCTGAAAAGGCCGAGAGACAGTATATCTGTTCCAGGCAAAGTGGAAACTTTCAGCAGCTTTGAATTGGAACTATCCTCACTGGCACACCCAACAAGGCCTCACAGAAATAAATACTCAGAGTAAAGTAAGTTTAAATAAACTGACTCTCTATACTTCCAGGTTTTCTACATGGTTATCTCCAGAGTAGTCAGGTTTGAGAGAATTATTTTTCCAAATTCACAGTGTATCATTTCCTCTCAGACAAAAGGACCCGCCACACACAATGTCAAGACCCCAGGCTCAAGCAACTAACTCTTTTTGGCCTCTCCTCAGCCAAAATGAACATGAACATAAGAGAAGGGGAGAGGCGGGACAAGGCATCTTTGGGTACTTCCATTATCAGAAAAGGGTACCATCCAGCCCTCTGTTGTCTACAGTCCTTACCCGGGCTGTGTGCAGGCCCGATGCTCAAGTGCCAAAATAGCAGTGCTGTAAGATATAGGTAGGGTAGCAGCTTCTCTTAAGGAGACCTTTTCTGGAATCTGCCAGAGGCTCTATTAAAAGAGAAAACGGTGATTTACAGATTAAGTACATGTAGCTGGTCATAAAGGCTGCTCAGTAAATACGATGACTTGATTGAGTGACTGATTTGCAAAGGGCAACTCATGCCTATAACCAAGCCTGGTGTAAGTCAATGCCAAGCAAGCCCGTGGCAGAGTTCAGGACTCAGGTGCATCAGACTTTAAAACTCAAGGGCTGGCATCTGGCTCACACAGGAGTCAACAGATGCAGACTAATGATGTGAACATGTTACCTCAATAAAGATGTGAGAAAAAAACTGTGTACTGTACACCATCAGGGGACAAGCAACATTCACAATCCATGCAATCATTCCCAGGACACCCTGGCTGGCTCCATTCCCAAGGCTTTCTTTCATAAGTTTTGTGGGGGGGAGAAGCCCATTATATCCAGCTCAATGCCTCAAACCAGTTTTTCTACCAAAAACTGTTTTTCTACCTATGATCCAATTGGGAACTCAGAAAACAAAATGCCCTTCTTCATTAAAACACTCCACACAAACAAGCTCTGTGCAAAGGTTGACATACTAATAAAGAAAAGGGGGTTAGCACTTGAAAAAATGAAGTGTTTGGCTAAGGAACAAGATATAGACAAGTACAAAAATAAGGGGGAAAGAAAAGAAGGATGAGAAATGAGTGATAAGTGGAAACTAAAGAAAACAAAGGGGAAAAAAAATCTCCAAACATTATTTAATCTTGATAGGCGGGGATACCTTCTGGTCGGTGATGCACTCCTCAGCCATAGCATTAAGGCCACTCACACCAATAACTCGATCTCCCTGAAGGGAAAATAGCATTAAGAATATGTTCAAATGCATGGCCTTGCATTCACCTTTCCCTGAATTCGTCCAAAAAAAGACGAAAATACATATCATTGGCTCCATAAGACAATTAAAGGTGGCCTTAATTATGCATTCAGAGTTAATGCTTAGTAAATAAAACAGGAATTCTCTCAATACCACCCCCAGGTTGCCAAGCCAATGGAAGCACATTTTAGATAATGATGGGATAAGGTAAGGAAAAGGTTGTTATGAATTAGACTCCCAATATTGATTTCTTCCACAAGAGGCTCAAACTTAAGAGTTCTCTAGCCTCTAGGTAATTAAAGATTAAGGTGCTGCCTTTTATTTATAATAAAGTTTAATGAAACCAGAGATTTCTACCAACTTCCTCCCCCCAGTTCAGAATGTGTTTCTTCTTCTTCCATGTGGGTTTCCCTTTAGTGTCTATAGGCAAAGGCCAGTAGAAACCAGACTCCCTGGCTACACATGAGGTTAACACAGTTCTCATAACTACACATACATTGATTCCCTAGATTTCAACTAATTTACCTCTTTCACTGTGCTGACATCTGTGCCTGTCTCCAATACTGTCCCAGAAAACTCCATTCCTAAAACATATTGTTTAAAGGTCAGGTTATCGCGAAAGCCCAACACCATGGAGATGAGAAAAACCTGATCAACAAACTATCCCAGCAGCTTTTTAGAGCTGAGCAGGTTTAGGTGGTCCTCACCCTCCCCAGGGAGAGAATTAAGAGTGTTAAAAGTTTTATACCCAAAGCACAGGAAAGTAAACATAAGATTTCACAATCACAAGTTGAAAAACTACAGCAGTCCTGTTCATACCCTGACACAAATGAAGATTTCAAAAATGTGCAAAACCACAGAGAATCACAAGCATAGAGATACTTTTGACCCAGATCACTTGGGCCTCAGATCACTTGAGCATCTACACTACCCCCACAAGAATCATCATATCGCATTTATCTGTTTCCATATCTCCCCTGGTGGACTATCCCCTGGTGAAACTCTCAGAGACATGAACTAGGTTTACTCAGACAGTACAAGGCTCAACTGGATGAACTGGTGTGGTTTTCCCTTTCCTCTGAAATTTCTTAATTTAACGATCATGCGTTTCCTACTTAAGCAGTCAGGAGAATAACTCAACCAAATATGATCTCCTCCCCTCAGCCAGAATTTCAGCAAATATCAACGGAAGGAAATGGTTCCAACTGTTGAGAGACTACCAAACACTTAAGACAAAATCATCCTAAAACCCAAACACACCCAACTATTTTGCAATCACTGTATCCTTCATAACATATATCTGCATAAAATACACATGCTAAAGTTACACTTATATCTCTTTCTATAAATTTTGACAAAATCGATCATTTCTAGCTGGGCGTTGTGGGGGCTCCCTTAGAGCCCAGCTACTCAGGAGGCTAAGGGAAGAGAATCACTTGAGCCCAGGAGTCTGAGGTTGCTGTGAGCTGTGATGCCAGGGCACTCTACTAGAAGTGACAAAGTGAGACTCTGTCCCCCCCAAAAATAATAATAATCAGTCATTTGTCTACAAACTCAGACATATCTAAGTTTAATCGATCTAAAAATAATCAGATTAGGTAGAATGAAAATCAGACAGTGGGCAGCTAAAAAAACTGTATAGACTCTTTTCTTCTCTCTGATCCTTTGGCATTAGAATTCTTTGGGAATGCATTTATGAGACTGAAAGTTGTAGCTATAAGCAACATTTGTGAAACTTTGTTAAAGAAACAAAATTGAGAGAATATCAAGGATAGAAAGGGAATGACTAAGGTCAATGATGATTATGATGAACAGAATTTTGGTGACTGTAATGATGTATAAAAATTCCTTTGTTGGGCAGTGGCTGTGGCTCAAAGGAGTACGGCACCAGCCCTATATGCCAGAGGTGGCAGGTTCAAACCCAGCCCTGGTCAAAAACTGCAAAAAAAAAAAAAAAAAAAAATTTATTAAAAATTCCTTTATCTTATTTACTGATGAAGTATTCATTGAGCATCTACTATGAGTCAGGTAAAATGCTACACTGGGGGGCAGGGTATTGAGCAAGATAGGCACAGAACCTGCCTTCATGTGGCTTAGAGTCTAGTGATTCTAATCAATAGTAAGACTGACACATCTAACTGAAACATGGCTGATAGCAGACAAAAGCCACCAGCCTAATGCCTGATACAAAGCACATGGTTCTGGCTTGGTACCAGTAGCACTGTGGTTATGGCGCTAGCCACATGCACCTAGGATGGCAAGTTCAAAGTTGACCTGAGCCTGCTAAAAATAGCAACAAAAAAGCAGCTAGGCATTGAGGCAGGCACCTGTAGTCCCAGCTACTTGGGAGACTGAAGCAAGAGAACTGCTTAAGCCCAAGAGTTTGAGGTTGCTGTGAGCTGTGACACCACAGCACTTTACCAAGGATGACATAGCAAGACTCTGTCTCAAAGAAGGAAAAAAAAATAAATAAAGCACTTGGTTCTAAAAACTCTCTGTATATTCTTTTCCTGAAGTAATCACTTAGTCTCCCTCTACTCACCAGGTGTGAAAGGAAGATGGGGCCTTTCCTGATATTGACCACGGCAGACCAAAATATCAGCAAAGTTAACTCCACAGAAATGGACATCAACTCTGACCTGCAAAAGAAACAGAGCAACAAGGCAAAACAGTACACATCTGTGGAGAGAAAGTTTGTTCAATTATACCAAAATTGTTAATGAACAACTATGTGCCAAATAGTTCAGTCAGAGCCAGTATACATTCACGAGGCCAAAAGGACAAGATTTCTGCCTTCACAGAGCTAAAAGTATAGCAAAAATTACAGATAGTAACCAAATAAAAATGAAGATGTATGTGTTAAATTATAACTCCAATAAAAGTGTTAAAGACAGAAATAAGAAATGCATAGTGCAATGAAAGCACACAATGTAGGGATTTCACCTCTTGGGAAAGTCAGGAAAACATCCCTAGTTAACCACAGCTAAACGGTAACTATTCAAAACAGGAGTGGAAAGGCTTGGTACAAGCAAAAGCAATAGCATGTGCAAAGCCCCCATGGTGAGGACAAAGGAGAAAACAGTGAGCCTAGAGCACAAAGAGAAAGAGATGGGGCTTGGGAGAACAGGGAACCCACACAAGGGTGCGTAGGTCTCATTGAGCATCTTAGTCTTCACCTAGGAACAATGGGAAACCATTCAAGGGTTTTAACAGAACCCTTAACAGATAACGTGGTTAGTCTTTGGGGAATTTGAAATCCTGGAGGCTAGAGCTAAACCCCCAGTCTCTATGTTTCATGGTAGTGCCAAAACTGAGGCTGACCTATTAGCAGTGAGCTCAACAGTTTCTCCAAACCTTGTTCTCAAAATGTGGTCCCAGACCACCAGCATCAGTTCCACCTGGGAACATATTACAAATTCAAATTCTCAGTCCCCATCCTGGACCAGAATTCTGAAGAGAAAGCCTACCAACCTGTTTTAACAAAGTCCAAGCAATGCTGATGGATATGAGAGCACTGTCATAGACCAACACATCCCAGCAGGGGTTGGACTCACAGGAGGAGATGAAGGCTGAGATCAAAAGCAATGATATTTATTTGTTTGTTTAAATTTAGTACAGAGTTGCTCATATTGGTAAGAAGACATTTTTATCTACAAAATTCATTCATCAACAATTTTTTAAGCATCTGCCATATGCCAAGCACCTACAGGGATTAGACTACCAGGATTTAAGGATGAGTAAAACTAAAATAGTCACAGTTTTCATGAGTTAATTCCTTACAATGCAATGTCTGAACAAACTATGGAACAAAGGAGCTCAGCCCTCGGCCTGTGCACATTCTGTGCATGACATATTAGTTATTGATAAGTGTATAGCACACAAGCATTCTCAAGCTTCTCCCTCCACCTTAATTTAGGGAGGATGATTCAAGGATGACCATGTTTTCAGCATGTGAATTCCAGGAAGCAGACTGGCTGCCATTACATGCTTGTCCATATTAATGACCCTTCAGGGCAGCAGCTGCATTTTTTCCTCTCACCTGTGGTCCCCAACACTGAGGCCCGCTGTCTGCTTCACCCTCTCAGTGTCAGTGTCTTCCCATTCCTCACACCAGAAGACACTGTTAGCAGAGTGGTCAACAGGTAAGGCCTTTCACATTTCTGTGGAAATGCTCACAACCCTAAACTATCCCATCTCAAATCACTGCAGTACATCAGAGTCAGGTACAAGGCATGTGTTCACACGGAAAACACGCGGCGGGGTGGGGCATTACTAGGCTGGTTTGAGGGAGGCAGGCAATCGAATAATTCCAAGTTGGCACTGAAGAGGAAGGAAGCAAAGGATGGGGGCCATTTATCTGCATTAAATCAATAACTTGCATACGCAAAGTCGTATGCAAATCAGAACTCTGTTTCTAAGGCAACAGCTCTGGAGCCTTCAGAGAGAGGCCCACTCGTGTGTTTGGGGGAACAATTTTCCTACAGCCCTTTGGACCTTCTAGCCCAGGACGAAGTTGTGTTGCTGTCTCCCGGTCGCCCTCTAGCTTAAGAACTGGGAACTTGATTCAAGAAGAAAGCCTGCGGGGGAAAAGTGGCAGGTCAAAAGGGATGGGCCAGTCACCCTACCTCGTGAGGCCTAACGGGGCGGGGGGCCACTTCGTCAATGGTCAAGGACTTCTTCAGCTCGGCGCAAAGCGCTGCGCGGTAGTACCGGCCGCATCTCTGCCCGGCTTTCCTGCAACACGGAACAGAGGCGGTGTTACTTGAGCCCCCCCACAAGGAGCACCCGGGAGCTACCTTGCGAGTCTCAGGGCAGAGTCAGGGCTGCACCTGCAGAGCCACGCCCGAGAGAGGCACCGGCCCCAAAGCACCGCCGCCATGGCCCAGCGGAACGAGTGGCGCGGGGGAGTGGCCAGAGCGCCTCAGGAAGAGCCGGACAGCTCCCGCCACGCCCCGGGGACAGCGGAAGGGCGTCTCCTGAGGCGTCCCCAGAAGGCCCGGGATAGCTGTAGCTGTCCAACCCTGGTGGGGCAGCGGCGGTTGCACTGAGAGCGCGCCCTGTTTCTCCTGTGGGAGGCTGTACGAGCGTCAGAACTCGTCCCCTGCTGGAGGGGGGAAAATATTTTAAAAAGTGAAACATAACCCGAGGTTAACCTTCTTTGGCATTTTTTGTAGCAAATTTGGGAAACTTTAAAACCACAGTTGGAGACATTTAAATAGAAGTGCACTTAGAAATCCTAGGTGCACAGGTAAAAGCAAACGCTTTGTTAAAGTTCAATTTTTTTTAAATGACTTTCTCACATTTTCAGGATCATTTACACTAAAACGATACGGTTACTAATGATCCGATGTTAAATGATCCTATACAAATCCAAAGAATACTTCCAGTTAAATTCAAGCTAAAGCCTAATGGTTTTCATGTTCCCGGTGCCCATGTTACACCTAGCACACAGTGGATGCTCAGTCAATGTAGATTCAATAACCACATAATTCCTAAATGAATAGGCACACTGCGGAAAAATTGAAGGCATACAGTATAATCTGTGGACTATTATAAAACTGGGTGGGGGGGCGGCACCTGTGGCTCAAAGGAGTAGGGCGCCAGACCCATATGCTGGAGGTGGCAGGTTCAAACCCAGCCCCAGCCAAAAAAAAAAAAAAACAACTGGGTAGGACTCTATTACGACAGTAAGCAAATATTTACAGATCAGCAAAATAGAAGCACATGTTATTCTGGGAGAATGTTTCGTTTGACAGGTAGCTTTTAAAAACAGCTTTAAAAGACATCTGGTCAGAGAGCACCAGCATCTCCGGTTGAACCCCAGCTCTACCACTTACTTGTGTGCCTTTGGCGTGGACATTTGATGGCTCTGGGCCTCAATTAACTCCTCCATAAAGTGAATGTGTTGGACAGAATAATCCCCAAGTTGTTCAATTCTGCTTCTATTTTTTTTTTTTTTAACAGAAACAGTATTACGAGATAACAAATGACCTGGAAGGCAGGGTCAGGAATGGAATAAAGGGAAAATGTGGAGTAAAAATGAAGTAGAAATGAATATCTAAGATTATGGCCTAAAGGGGAAGGAATTCAAGAACCAGCTCCCCAACTTGGCTATATAGTAGGAATTACTGTTGTTTTAATAGCGCTAATGGGAATTTGAGAACTCTTTTTAGCTCCCAATTTCTCCCCCCATCCCCCACAGGAAGATCAGAACAACAACTATAAGGTGAGAAGATGAATAAACTTGTTCCAAATGAGACATGAAAGCAGTTTTGTAAACTGTTAATCATTAGGCACATAAAATCAAATCAGGAACAATAGAGAAATACTGACATTATCAACATTATCATCATCAAACCGAACATTCTGGCTGCCAAGTAACAGTAACAGTAAGAAATCTCGAGTTTATGAATATGCAAACGATTGTTCTGAAGGTGCAATGAGTTATTACATGTGATGATTTGTGAAATATTAAGTATTTGTACAACATGTAAAGCAAGCAACCATTAGGTGAGCTCCTTGACAGCAGCAATCATTTCTTAATCTCCTCTGTGTTCGCAGTACTTTGCACAAGAGCCTGACACATTCAGGTATTTGATACATGTTTATCTAATGAATTGTTGAAAGAGCGCTGTTATCTCAGTTTTTCTGATAATTGAAATATCGTGAAGAATCGAGTTTTTCATTTTTAATTGTTTATATGGAAAATTTTCTTTATGATTTTCTTAATATCTTTGTCATTTTCAGGGGATATGAAAATATTTGAATAAATCTATATGAAAATCAGGCCAACCATCGTGGCTCACAACTGTAATCCTAGCACTTTTGGAGGCCAAGGCAGGAGGATTGCATGAGGCCAGGAGTTCGAGACTATCCTGAGCAACATAGTGAGACTCCATCTCTATGAATAATAGCCAAGCATGGTAGTATGCACCTATAATCCCAACTATTCTGGAAGCTGAGATAGGAGGATCACTTGAGCCCAGGAATTTGAAGTTACAGTGAGCTATGATCACATCACTGCACTCCAGCCTAGGTGACAGAGTAAGATCCTGTTTCAAAAAAAAATTTGTTTTAAAGAATTTTGGAAAGACATGGAGGTATTTTGGGTAACTGGGGTGATTTTAAGCACATATGCAAAATAACTTTCACATTTCCAAAGAGCATCAAAGATAAGTGACAAGATATTTAATAGTAGTTGCTATAGTAGCAAAAGAAATATTTGGTCTATCCATCAAAGTGTTGCCACCACATCATGCTATCTAGTTTTAGTTACTGTTTATGATTATTTTGTTTTATTGGGGGGAAAGCTGGAAAGGAAACAAGAAGAAGAAAACTTGAGTCCTGGAAGAGAATAAGACGAAGCAGCAAAATTTGAACTGCTCTGTCCTCTGGAAAGAAAAAGAAAGGATCAATAGCTGTCCTGCAAACCAGCTTGAGGGCTCATTAAGGAAGTAGAAGAGTAACAGATGACTCTTCCTTCTGGTATAACTCACATAAACAGATAATATTTAATATCTAGAAGCTGCTAGAGGGCTGAGGGTAGAGAAGCAAGCCAAAGCTGAATGCACAAACAGCTATGTTTTCACAAAATAACAAGTAATGTATAAACAATGTAAGCCCCAAACAGGACTCTGCTGAACAATATAGCAGTTGAAGTGCTTTACCCAATAGCCTGTAGGCTCCTGGAGAATAGGGACTGTGTATGGATAGCCTCAGAGTTTACCACTAGGTCTAGCACATAGCAGGTACTCAGTAAACGACAAGAAGATAGGAAACAAAGAGCCCTACAAGCTGCCAGCACAGCTCAACTATCCAAAGCCACAAATGCTAACAACATTAAGGGTTCTTGCACCCACTTCCTTACCTAAGATACTGGATGTAATCAGATCTTTTTCCCACTAGTTTAGTATTATTTTAAATATAAATTGTTTTCTGCTACAATCACGACCTCCCAAATTCCTGACATGTGTAGGAGTAGTATGCCTTTCCATTGCATTCTTAGATTGCTTTTTCTGATTGTTGGAGCTGGGGTTAACTTTTAACAATTTAGGAAATACGCTTTGGCCGTTGGTGTATATAATGCATGTATCCTACGACGCTATTCCGGGACCAATGTAAGATTTGCTGTGTAAGTTATTTGCTATCATAGCATTTCAGAGCTTGGATGGAGCTTTAGGATAATCTAATCAAACTGCTTCGTTTACTGGTAAGAAAACAGGGGCTCAGAGAAAGGCTGCTAAAGGCCACGCTGCTGGTTACTGGCTGGGGTAGCATTAGAATCCAGCTTCCCTGACTTTCTGTTCACTGCTCTTCCTACCATGTTCTTTGGATCTCCTCAACAGTACACACGGAGTGATAATATTTCACAGTTTCTTAGTGCTTCGTAGGTTTCAAATCCTTGTTCCCCAAATTGCTTTATCCTGCTAATGAGGAATAATAATTATCATTACGACTAGCACTTATTAGTTACTTATTACAAACCAGTCATAAGTAACCAAATCAGTGCTTGTGCATGATTTCATTAGTCCTCACAATACTCCTATGACTGGGATCCAATTATTGTCACTCTTTTATAGATCAGGAATGTAGGCTTAAGGAGGTTAAGTAACTTGCCCAAGGCCACAAAACCAGGAGATGGAGGAGTTTAGAATCATCCTAATTGGCTGGTGCCCAGAGCCCCAGCAACAGCATCCGGCTGCCTACTGTGCTTTCCCTCACAAACATCCCTGGGAGCAGACAAAGAAGGTATTATACAATACGCTTTAAAGCAATGCCCTGCTTGCAGCTTTAAGCTTAATTTTATAGGAATTTTACAGTCGTTCAAGCTCTAGAAAATAGATTAATTCCCTGAAGAAAAGAGTACAGAGAAAGCAGCCTCCAGGGATGCCTGCAGTTAAGGGACAAGAGCAGGAAGTAGCTAACACATAATTAGGGGTTACTACCTTATTTCATATCTCCAGAAGCTTGAAAAGCACTGATTTCATTTAAAGTTAAAGTATATTGTATAAGATTAAAACTGTGATTATGTAAAGTAGTTTTCATATGCACACACACATATATGATTTTAATAAAACAGTGTGCTAAGCAGGTTGCCTGGTTACCAGTTGTCACTCAAGCAGGTACCAGAAGGCATTTGGGTATATTCCTGGCACCCAGATAGAACAATTTGCAAGCAGTGGGGACCTAGGCAATGGCTGTTATGGCTACCAAAACTAACCACCAGTTTTTGATGCAGGGAATTTTTTACACCTTGGGCCATCATCGTGAAACCAATACGCAAATCCCCAAGCATTCTGGCAACCTTATGAAGCCTTTCCAGCTCCCCAACTTCCCCAGAAAGAATAAATTCTTTCCTTCCATATGTTACCCCAAAGAACTTTGCACAAACTTGTATTAGCTCACTAATCTATTTAGGTGGTATTTATCTATTTATATAACCCCCTGGCTAAGCTGTGAGCATCATGGATGACTCTGATGATAGCACAGTGAAGTGAAAGGAATTTGGGCTTTGAAATCAGATGTGCCTATGTTCAATTCCTGGCTTAGCTACTTACTCCTTGTGACTTTGGGAGAGTTATTTAATTTCTCTGAGCTTCTGTTTCCTCATCTGTAAAACACAGCATAATACCCACTTTAGGTGGCAGTTGTAAGAATTATACTAGATGAGCAAGTACATGGCAGCACTCAATAAACAGCAGCTCTTATGAAGACACTGCCCTGCTCTTGAGCCTCCCAATGTCCAGTGGAGCAAGGCACACATATAGAGGCCTCTGAAATGCCTGTGGTAGGTTCTGTGATATGGGACTGCAAAGGGGGTCTGGCAGCAGAGAGGATGCCTTTGCCATCCAGAGCATTATTTCAAGAAAGCCTCACAGAAGG